CTGTTCCCTCATTGTTTCCAGGATGGCTTCGTGGGCCACATAAAACCACTTTGCGGGCCGCATCTGGCCCCCAGGCTCTGTGTTTGACATGTCTGGTCTAATTGTATTTGCTTTAATGTGGATGTGCTTCCCTCTGGTTTTATACCCTGTATAAGGGTCTGCTAAGGGTCTCTGGGGGATAGAAATGTGGACAAATTAATAATGAATATATAAATGGTATGCCTGGTACAAATTACATGACTTGCATCTTTTGATTTCTCTTAGATGTCTATACCCAAACTGTATAAAGATAAGTCTATAATGCATGACTCTGGTGGAGAAACATTGGTGGCATTTAATTTCTATCTAAACTCACTAAAAGCTTTGATTCATTCAGAAAAGGTTTCTCCACATTTTATTAAGATGAGTCTCAAGCGCAGAGAAATCAGGAGACCCAGACAGTTCAAATTAGTAAAAGATTCAAGAAAGTGTGTATTTAATGTTGCATATATGAACAGCAGCAAGAATTGCTCAATATTGGAAAAATGAAGAAGCACCATCTGAAGAAGAGACAATCAAGAAAAAACTGGACTGTGTAGAGAGGGATAGACTTACACTGAAGATTAAAGAAAAAGAAGACACAGAATATTTTCAAATATGGGATGTATTTTATCAATGGCTGGAAAAACAGAGTAGAGATTGGGAATGTAATGTGTATTATTAAATAAAACAAATGGAACCAGACAACACGTTCTTTACCAAGCACTAATGAATTGTAAGTGTAGAAAACTACTAAAATATTATATATATGTTTTCTGAGGTTTTCGTGGGTGTTTGTATGTAGGTCTTATGAGACTTCATCGAAACGTCGCCAAGTCACTTCCAATTTTACGTGGGAGAAAACCCGAATAACCAAAGACATATATATATATATATATATATATATATATATATATATATATATATATATATATATATATATATATATATTTAGGTTGCTAAGAAAGAATAAAGAGAGAATGGTATAGCTATTTCGAGTTCCTTTAACTCTCTACAGCCAAACTTACTCTTCTGAGATTCGAACCTGGGCTATCTGCATGTTAGGCAGAAAAGAAAAGAAAAGAAAAGAAAGAAGATTTCTTTCTCCCATATTTGGGCTGACAGGGTGCTCATTCAAGGTATGTATATATATATATATATATATATATATATATATATATATATATATATATATATATATATATATATATATGATTAAGAAAATTAAAAACATGAGCCCTGGGAATATTCATGGCAAAGAATAAAATGAACACCAGGGTAAAGATAAAACCATAAAAGTTTAATTAAAAAGCGCCAAGCTTTCGCCGTCACCTGCCGGCATCCTCAGGGCTAGTGCGCCAGGAAGTGTGAGAATCTTTTTATAGGTATGTCAGAGCCTGCGCGCGGCTCCTCGACCTCGTCACCGGGCCAGATTGATTCAATTGCACAAGACTGGTCTGTTCTTTCCTGTTCCTTTCAGTTATGTGTCTCTCCTCGTCCATCCTACCTTCCTTTAACCCTCGGATATTCGTGGTATCGGAGTTCTGGATCTTAATTTTCTTGGAGTGGAGTACAAGTAATCAGCGGCAGCACCCCCGACGACCCAGTAACAACCTCAGCAGCATTAAAGAGGAAGAGTTAACCCCCCAACTGATCCGGAGTAATCCAAAGGAGGAAAGCCAACTGTGGAATATCCCTGTGATACCAGCAAGGGTGCCACAACCCCAAAGGACCAAAGGAACGGTGAAAATTAAGATCCAGAACCCCGATACCACGAATATCCGAGGGTTAAAGGAAGGTAGGATGGACGAGGAGAGACACGTAACTGAAAGGAACAGGAAAGAACAGACCAGTCTTGTGCAATTGAATCAATCTGGCCCGGTGACGAGGTCGAGGAGCCGCGCGCAGGCTCTGACATACCTATAAAAAGACTCTCACACTTCCTGGCGCACTAGCCCTGAGGATGCCGGCAGGTGACGGCGAAAGCTTGGCGCTTTTTAATTTATATATATATATATATATATATATATATATATATATATATATATATATATATAGCAGCCAAGGGAAATTAGCGGGAGATGAGAGTAGAAGGAATTCAAGGTGGGCTGGACATGAGGGTGCAAAAGGACTTGTGACATATGATGTATTTGACCGCTCCCTCGGGCTCAGCCTGGTCATCTTTTAAAGTGCTAATCTCCAGGCTAGCATCCTATAGATGGACAGCAGAATTTAGGCATTGTCACCCCCTTGAGGCAGCTAATATAAGGAGTACCAAAATTCCACTTTATTGTTTTAGGGTATACCAACTCAAAATTCAGCTGAAGTCTACTTCTACTGCATTAATATCAAACATAATCAGGGTGAAGTAATTTGACTTTGTTTCTCAACTGTCTCCTGAATTAATGTTTACCCACCAGTTCTTGCACTCTTACTTACCACTGGATTCCTCTATGGGCATGGCCAATATAGGAACATGAAAAATGAAAAATTCATTCAATTGTTTTTTCATTCAAGAAAAATCAAACTAAATGAATGAAGTTATGATGAACCTTCATACTACGCTGAAGTCCTAGCCAAGGTTCATAACTGAGAGACAGGCATTATATTCTGTTGGTTTATGTAAGAGGTGAAGACAATGGCTGCATTGTTCAGAATCTTTGGAAAGTCAGCCTGAGGACACTGAAATTTGAGCCCCCTCCACATTTGAGTAGCAGTTGAGATGATGACCAGGCCACCCAGCGGCTGCACCCAGCAAGTAGAGAAGAGATCAGAGCAAAGATGGTCTATGGCAGTTCCCAAGAATAAATGAATAGAAGAACAGAAGAACAGAGTTGGAACAATCAATCAGTGGAACAACTTTCTTCCAGAAGTTGTGAATCCTTCAACACTGGAGGATTTTCCAAAGAGACTGAACAGCCACTTCTCTGAAATGGTGTAAGGTCTCCTGCTTGAGCAGGGGGTTGGACTAGAGGACCTCCAAATCCCTTCCAGCTGTATTCTGTAATGTACTGATTTGCTGATCTTCCCTCTCTCTTCCTGCCCCAGTTAGGGGCTAAAACTAAATTCTCCCTCTTGCCTTTCAACCAATATCCCTTTCAAAAACCTTATGTCGCCTCCAGGCTGAAGAACAGAAGAAAGTCTAACTGCCTGTAGAGTCCAGCTAGGAGTTAAAGGCTAGACTGTGGACTGTCCTCTTCAAGCAATCTATTGCAGAGGTCCCAAACCTTTTGGGCACCAGGGACTGGTTACATGGAGATAGGTTTTTCTGCAAACTGGGATGTGTGTGGTTTTGTGTGCTGCCTGCATCCTGTGGATGGGGCTTTCCTTGTTTGTGTAGACCGGTTGCTGGCATGCCGTGGCCTGATACTGGTCCACAGACCTGGCTTTGGGGACCCCTGGTCTATTGGACAGCTAAAACCTGCAAAGACTCAGCCTCCTCCCTTTTCTGGCACAACTTTTAGACATGATTTTTTTTTTTTTTTTTAGTTCAAGGATAAAAGCAGCAGGAAGGTTTATGAACTTTTGTAATTGTCTTTATTATTGTTATTGTCAGTTAGTTTTTGGGTGGCCTTTTTTGATCATATTTATGCCAACTCCCAGAGATGCTGAATGGAGGACGGAAATGAAGGACGCTGCCCAAATTTCAGTGCCTAGAGCATAAGCAGACTAAAGTTTGGGGTCATAATTCAATAGATCTCCCTACTTAATATAATATAATAGTAGTAAAGTTGGAAGGGACCTTGGAGGTCATCTAGTCCAACCCCCTGCTTAGGCAGGAAACCCTACATCATTTCAGACAAATGGCTGTCCAGTCTCTTCTTAAAAACTTCCAGTGTTGGAGCATTTACTGCTTCTGGAGGCAGGCTGTTCCACTGATTAATTGTTCTCACTGTCAGGAAGTTTCTCCTTAGTTCTAGGTTGCTTCTCTCCTTGCTTCTCAACTTATTGAATTGTTTTGTGTGAGCCATTGTTTCAGGCCTTTGGATGCTATAAAGTCCTCATCATTCATTCAACTGGAGTCAAGGATTTTCCTTGTAAATCCATTTTCTTAAGTTGCGTGTGCAACTGGGTTAGAGAAGTGTCACTTTTCATCTAAACCAAAGAAATTTAAGCTTTTAAAAGTTAACAAGTTTCTTATTTTAAAGATGGGTTTAATAACTTCATTTTTGTATGAAGCACCTAGGGCCTTTAAGACAGTGGAACATGCAGTGGTGGGATTCAGCCAGTTCGCACCAGTTCTGCAGAACCGATAGCTAATTTTTTGTTGCCCAAGCCCAGAAGACCCAGTCTAGCAATGTTTAAGATTCATCCTGAGATATTTTTCCTAGGAATGTATTTTAATAATTGTTCTGGATAGTGATGCTTTTGGAGAGGGGAACAGACATTGGAATCAGTTGAAAAGATAATATTAGCACTGAATTTAGATAAGATATGTGGCAAACAAACCATGGCCAAAAAAAAATAGTCAGGTCAATAATTCTTCAAATTCTCCTCCCAGTCCACTCCTCTAATCCCATGAAAACCTGTATTTTAAAGAAGTTGGCTCAATGTGTCTCCATTAAAATGGAGTTCCAGAAGCGGCATCCACACAGAGAACTGGTTGTTCACATATGTGAATCCCACCAGTGGGAACATCTATTAATCATTACAATGAGCACACAAGTGCTTTCATCTCCCTCTTGACACTGGGAGGTGTTTCAGAGGAAAAATCCATGAGATTGTTAAAATGAACACCTAAGAACAAATGCTATGAGATGTGAGAAGACCTTTTTTCTGCTGTTTCTTCAACAACTCCATGAAAAAATAGACAAACCCAATATTTTTGCATTCTCAATTTATTCTGATTGTGGCTTAATGACAGTTGAAAGTGAGGAAAGAACCTCATAGTGAGCTACATATCAAAGTGTAATCACTCTGGGATTAAAGTTGAGCATTTTTGATCCCAATTCCTATTATTCTTTTGATTAAGCCATCAAAATTCTTCCCATCCATATGTGTCCTTCATAGTCAGGCCATTCTATCCTTGAATTTTAAGAGCATTCTGGCATTCGAAGACTGTAAGGTTGTAATGAAGTAGTCCATGTGCTTCTTCTATCTCTCCTGTAGGGTAGGAACATGCACCCTTGGTTGTACACCCCTGGGCAATGACCGTTGACCTGAATGCTGACCCTGAGGAGAAAGGTTGGAAGATGAAGCAGATAACAGAATAACAGAACAGAATAACAAGAGTTGGAAGACACATTGGAGATCTTCTAGTCCAACCCCTGCCCAGGCAGGAAACCCTATACTATTTCAGACAAATGGTTGTACAATCTCTTCTTCAAAATCTCCAGCGGTGGAGCACCCACAAATTTTGAAGGCAAGTTGTTCCACTGATTAATTATTCTAACTGTCAGGAAATTTCTCCCCAGTTGATTCTCAAATTTGGTTCCCAAATTTCTCTGCGCTGGTTTTCTACTTGATTAGTTTCCATGCATTGCTTCTTGTCCTGCCTTCAGATGCTTTCATGAATAGGCAGCTCCTGAGATATTGGAACACTGCTATCATGTCACCCCTAGTCCTTCCTTTCATTAAACTAGAAATACCCAATTCCTGTAACCGTTCCTCGTATCTTTTAGCCTCCAATCCCCTAATCATCTTTGTTGTTCTTCTTTGAACTTTTTCTAGTGACTCAACATCTTTATTATATTATGGTAACCAAACCTAGATGCCATATTCCAAGTGTGGTCTTACCAAGACATTATAAATTTGTATTAACAATTCACATGATCTTGACTCCAGCCTTCTGTTAATGCAGCCTAGGACTCTGTTGGCTTTTTTTGCTAGCTGCACACACTACTAGGTCATATTTAAGTAATTTAGGAAAACTTTCTTGGTTTTTTTTCACTTTGATGTTGTAGCATTGAGATACATCCAACCACATACACATCTGTCCTGTTATCTAGACAAGGTGTGTTCAGCATTTCCTTTCCTTGGGAAATACATGGGGAGGGGAGGAAATACAGGCCATAATCTGTGGAATACTCTCTCCCCTAGGCATATCCTGCCCCTAGTCTCTTAACTTTCCAGGAATTATTAAAATCTATTTTAGTTCAGGAACTTTTTCGGGTTACATTATTTTCTTCTTTTATGCACTTTTTTTACAATTGAACACTGCCAAAGACAGAAGTATCCTTCCAAGATATGATATCTTACTGGTTTTACTTTGTACTTTGTTGATTTTTGGCTTTCATTTATTGTATACTTCATTCTGTCTTTCTAAAACATTCCCAAAGAAATTTAGAAAGAATGAGTGGCTCACGTGCATTTAGGTTGAGGTTCAGAGAGAAACATTGGGTGTCATCACCATAACAGAGGATGGGTCCATATCCTTCATAGGAGACTTCATTTTGTTGATAGAAGCCTGGACAGACATATCCATTGGGTCTATGCTTGCCACGGATGAGCTCTGCATAAAGAAAGTCTCATAGTTAACCTCAAATGGTTTCCAAGCAATATCTTTTCTTAGTATTTATATCATAACTTAGTGTCCTCTAGATATTTTGAGAGTATAATTCTTGTGATTCTTTTTTTTAGCTACAGCTTCTTTCTAAGAAATGTCATGCTCCATTGGTCCCTCCGCCACCAAATCCACTGGACCCTCAAAGAGATGAGAACTTCATCTTTCCAGACTCCAGCTGACTCGTGAAAAACATCTTTAGGACAACTATGACCTGGATGACTGAGAATCTCCATAGACATTCCAGACTGCAAGTTATTTGAATGGATGCTTTAACCTCAAGTTACTTACGAGGCAAAGGTGCTGTGTTACAAGCATCACTTTCACAACATGCCACATTCATCTGGAGGAATCTTTCATCTTTTGATGTGGTGCTGTAATAATCTTGAGAACATTGGTCAGTTCTTGCACACCCCTTGAAAGTAAAGCTGATTGAAGGAAAGACTGCAACATTCAATCAGAGGAAAAAAGGGACAGGTAACAAGGAGAGATAAATATCAAATCTTTGTGGGAAAACAATTCTAAAAGTTATACCAACATTTTCTCCAGCTTCTTCCTCCAGATAGGCTCAAATGAGATGGAGAAGAGTGATTGGAGAGCATTATAGCATCTTTGACTTCACCTGGGAGGAAGGGAATGTTCCGTTCTTTTTGAGGTGAGTGACTTGCACTATGATGAGATTAACAGGTGTCGTTCTGATCCTGAACTGTCAACTAGATTTAGGAAAGAGCCCAAATATGGTGAAACATCTGTACTTTGGGGAACAAGGGGTGAAAACGGCAACCATCATTAAAACTGAAAGTACATTTCACTCACTCATAGTGTTGCTAAAAGTATTTGTAAGACAATGTCCTTCATCCTCTTCACATTCCACCAACTTCATGTCCGCATATCTGCATCCTTCTTCAGTGTCAAAACAGGAGTGGCATTTTAAAGGTGCCACTGCAAATAGAATAAGAGAAAGGAAAGGAAAGGAAAGGAAAGGAGAGGAGAGGAAAGGAAAGGAAAGGAAAGGAAAGGAAAGGAAAGGAAAGGAAAGGAAAGGAAAGGAAAGGAAATTTCCAATCCATCAACGCTGAAGTTCAGCCAATCTAGAAATGTTCAAGATTTGTTCCGAGGTATTTTTTCGAGGAATGTATTCTAATGTTTGTTCTGGATAGTGATGCTTTTGAAGAGGGAACAGAGTTTGGAATCTGTTGCAAAGATAATATCCGAATTTAGATAAGGTATGTGGCAAACAAACCATGGAAAGAAAATGGGCCAGTAATTCCTCAAATTTTCCCTTCCAATCCCCTCTTCTATTCCCATGGAAACCTATCTGTTAAAGAAGGTGAGTCAATGCTTCCTCATTCAAATAGGAGTTTACAATTTTGGAAGAAAATAATATTATATTGAACAGAGAGATTTCCTGAGAGTTGAAGTTCTTCCTCAAAATTTGGAGGAATCTTTATTGACAAATTACTCCAAATTCCTCTTCCCTCCCTAAGTTACCCCAATGTTATTTACCTGTTGATATGATTGAGGAGAGGAGGCACATGACAAAGATTCTAGTAGACATTATGATGAAAGGGTAAATTGACAGTACTTTCTGAAGCCAACCTGGGTCATTTGTAGTTCCTTGGAGGATGTGTTTGCAGAATTATACTCATGAGGTGGAAAGGGAGTTGGTGATGACGATCAACTCCCACACAGCTTAGAACATCAAATTACACAAGATTTTGGGGAAAGGGAAATCTGTACAGAATCTATCAAGATGGGTAAGACTCTTTGTCATCATTTAAGCTCTTCCAATTCATGATGTAGGCCTCGCCTTTATCAGAGCTTTGCCGGTCAGTAAGGCCAGTCTATTAAGGGGGCTAAGAAAGGAGGTTCAAAAATCACCATTAGGTTTATTTATTTATGAGACTTATATACCGCTTTAAGTGCAAGCACTCTCTAAGCTGTGTACACCAGTAAGCAATGTATATATATATTTACATTGCCCCCAACAATCTGGGTCCTCATTTTACCTACCCCGGAAGGATGGAAGGCTGAGTCCACCTTGAGCCGGTGAGATTTGAACCGCTGACCTGCTAAACACAGTCAGCTAAAGTGGCCTGCAGTACTGCACTCTAACTGCTGCGCCACCTCGGCTCTTATATGATCTCGGTTGAGATCATTGTGGTAACATTTTAGGAGAAACGACATGCCCTGAAAAATTAAGGAGAATTTCTCACAATATCTCTTAGTCAGAGTGGAGAATATGCACAAGGGTGAACTTCCCTGGCTCTTGGTTTGCAGGAGCCAACTGCTCGATAGCCTTAGGTGTGATATTTTCCTCAGTTCCCACATCTTTCAGAATGGACAGTTAAATTGATTTGTGTTTCTGGAAATATGGGGTATGATGAATACCAAGATATTGTAGACAGCTGTCAAAACAGAAGTGGTAGATGAGGCTTAGATCCCAGAACAACTGAGGGGAGAAGAGGTCATTTTCAAAGACCATATTCCTATCTCCATGACTGCTGTATATTCCCTATCCAGGGAGCAATTGTTTTATCTACCAGTAGTAAGACATCCCATCAAAAAAAGTCAGGATAGCCACCATCACCACATATTAGAAGCTCTGCTTCTTATTTACAAATGTGATCTTTGTGTTTACCCCGTGATATTTAGAGTCACTTGATTCATTACATTGGCACATTCAAAACTTTCAGCTATTGATTAAGAAAAAAAATCTCAGTTGGCTGAGATTCTTAATTAGGGGTATTCAGTTTAAATAGTAAAGATGGCATTCTTGTTTATTTGTTGTTGTTACTTGCGAAGTCGTGTCCGACCCATCGCGACCCCATGGACAACGTTCCTCCAGGTCTTCCTTGTTTATTACAAGTGTTTAAATTGGACAATAACTATGATTAGAAGTGTTTTCTATTTCATTGCCTATGTACAGCTATCAAGTCTGAAGAAGACATACTGTTGTGCACTTCATCTTTGGACCCGGACGTGGTTCTGCTGGCTCTCTCTGGAAGTGGAGAGTTGATCACAATGAAGTGACTGGAAGTCCATTGTGGTGATAACTGGGGGGGTTATTTTGTGATGCCACTCACATTTTCTATCAGTTTTTGGCCATGACTGTCTTCAGAGCTAGTGGACCATTTGTAGCACAGTGCTTGCAAAAGGGTTCTGTCAACAGATGCTGCTTCTATTGCCTTGGCTAGATGTCACAATGGCATAAGTATTCTTCACAGCATCTTTGTGGTGCTTGTATGGACAACTTTGAGGTCTCTTCCTTGTCTCCAGCACACCATAGAGCAACTAGTGAGGCATGGAGTGGTTGGCTATTCTGATGATGTGTCCCACCCACCACATCTGAGCTGTGATAATCAGGGACTCAGTGCTAGTGGACTTCACATGATCCAAGATTTTCAAGCTGGAGGCACGATCTTGCCAACAAATGTCAAAGATGGAACAGAGAACACTGTGAAATTTCTCCATTTGATGTGCCATCAGCACTGAGTCCAGGACTCCCATCCCTTTAGGAGAGAAGAAATAACAACAGGCAACAGGCAACAGCAACAGCAACAGCAGCAACAACAACAACAACAACAACAACAATAATAATAATAATAATAATAATAATAATAATAATAATAAAGTTGGAATGGACCTTGGAGGTCATCTAGTCCAACCCTCTGCTCAGGGAGGAAACCCTATACCATTTCCAGCAAATGGCTGTCTAGTCTCTTCTTAAAAACTTCCAGTGTTGGAGCATTCACCACTTCTAGAGGCAGGTTGTTCCACTGGTTAATTGTTCTCACTGTCAGGAAGTTTCTCCTTAGTTCTAGGTTGCTTCTCTCCTTGATTAGTTTCCATCCGTTGCTTCTTGTCCTGCCTTCAGGTACTTTGGAGAATAGCTTGACTCCCTCTTCTTTGCGGCAGCCCCTGAAATATTGGAAGACTGAAATATCATGTCACCCCTGCTCTTTCTCTTCATTAAACTAGACATGCCCAATTCCAGCAACCATTCCTTATATGTTTTAGCCTCCAGCCACCTAATCATCTTTCTACAGCAGACATGTCAAACTTGCAACGTCACGTGACATCGCGCAACGTATCGGGACAGTTTTGCCACTGCCGGCAATGGGGTGGGCACGGCTTCTGGATGACGCATCCGGCCTGTTCTAGAGTCTCAACATCTTTTTTACATCGTGGTAACCAAAATTGGATACAGTATTCCAAGTTTGGCCTTACCAAGGCATTGTAAAGTGGTATTAATACTTCACATGATCTTGATTCTATCCCTCTGTTAACGCAGTCTAACACTGTGTTGGCTTTTTTGGAAGCTGCAGCACACTGCTGGCTCATATCTAAGTGATTTTCCACTAGGACTCTGAGATCCTTCTCACAGTTGCTACTATTGAGCAAGGTACCCCCTATACTATACTTGTTACATTTGGTTTTTCTTGCCTAAATGTAGAACCTTACTTTTTTCACCATTGAATTTCATTTTGTTAGACAGTGCCCAGTGTTCACGTCTGTCCAGATCCTCCTGTATCTTAAACCTGTTTTCTGGAGTGTTGGCTATTCCTGCCAGCTTGGTGTTGTCTGCAAATTTGATGAGTTCCCCATCTATCCCCTTGTGGGGAGATATGGATGTTGTGTTGATTGAGCAATATAATACACAGACACCTCAGAGTCTGGCTGATCTTGCTGATCCTAGAGACAATTTCTTTGTCCAAAGACCCATCATGATGTTTCCTAAATATTTGAAGCTGTATACATGAGTGTCATCAACAGTGAGTTTTGGTTTTACAGGTTGGTATTTGGCCTGGTTTGGTAAAGTGCTTCAGTCTTGCTCAGGCTGATAGGTCAAAGAGCATAGCGGTATATGAGAATTTGTTCATCATGAACTGTAGATCATTGTCTTTGAATGCCAGGTGTGCACAATCATCAGTAAAGAGGGTTTTTTGAATGGCTGTGTGGAGTCTTTTCATTTGTTCATTCGAACAGAGAAGATCAAAGAGAGATCTTCCTTCCTTCAAACCCTGGACACTATGTAATCCCATGCAGGTGAAGAACAGATTGAACAGATCTGGGGCTAGCACACCATTCTGTTTCATCCCACTGGAAATGATAAATGCAGCTGCCATATCTTATAAGACATCGGGATCAACTGTGGACATCCTATTGAGTTGGTTGGAAAAGTGTTCAGCCCACTGGTTTCTCAGTCCTTCCTGGTCTTTGATCAGGCTCAATCCATCAGAAAACAGCAAGGGGGAACATCCTGACTCAGGAGGACCATAAACTGCTTTAATGTACTGAAAAACTCTCCGATGGCTTGCAAGTCTGCATAATTTCCCACCTGCTCAGACTTTTTCTGCCATCACTTGGCCTGCATTTCTCCCAGTTCCACCTGTGCTGTTTGAAATTGTCTTTCTTTGAGACAGAGGATGGATCAGTCTGCCATTCAGCATAGCCCTTGTTCTTGGCCTGGAAGGCTGCTGAAATAGTCTCATGGTTTTCATCAAACTAGTCTTGGTACACTTGTGTTTGTACTACAAACTCTATTCACCTTTCAGAATGAGTTCCTAAAAGTGGCAATTACTGGAGAGTTTTTCAGTAAGCACAATGTCATGGTTTCGATAGATGAGACCAGAATCACTTAGATATGAGCCTGCCATGTGCTGCAGCTGCCAAAAAGGCCAACACAGTGCTAGGCTCCATTAACAGAGGGATAGAATCAAGATCACGTGAAGTATTAATACCACTTTACAATGCCTTGGTAAAGCCACACTTGGAATACTGCATCCAGTTTTGGTCACCACAATGTAAAAAAGATGTTGAGACTCTAGAAAGAGTACAGAGAAGAGCAACAAAGATGATTAGAGGTCTGGAGGCTAAAACATGTAAGGAACGGTTGCTGGAATTGGGTATGTCTAGTTTAAT